CAGGAAGTTGCAAGTCCCACACCAGCAGGCAGGGAAGTGGCTGCTGCCAGGTGGGGGGGGGAGTGAGGGGGTGTGTGGGGGTGCAGGGGAGGGTTGGTGAGAGTGCACGAGGATGGAAGGGTGTGTGCGAGAGGCGCTGCGTGAGTTGGGGAGGGTGAGCAAGAGGTATCGTGCAGGTCAGGAAGGATGGGCAAGGGTGCAGTGCGGATTGGGGAGGGTTGCGGGGGAGCACAAGAAGTGCCCCACGGGTTGGGGAGGGTGCGCAAGAGGTGCCACGTGGGTTGGGGAGGATGTGCGAGGGTGCGGCATGAGTTAGGGAGGGTGTGTGGGGGTGCAGTGGGGTCGGGTACATAGGGGTGTGGTGCGGGTTGGGGAGGGTGTGCAGGGGTGTGTGTGAGTGGCCAACATGGCACAGGTGCAGAGGGGCTGGGAAGGGTGCATGGGTGGGGGAGACTTATCCCAGTAATTTGCAAACTTCCTGCTGGCTTCCCCATTGACTTTCTGGGGTGCTTGGCAACTGATGCTTGGCAACCGGTCGTAAGTGTGAACAGGTTGCCAAGTGCCCAGATTGCGATCCCATGACCATAGGGGTGCTGGGATGGCTGTAACTTCGAGAATCAGTCATAACCACCATTCATTTAGCACCATCGTAACTTTGAATGGTTGCTGAACGAATGGCCATAAGTTGAGGACTACCTGTATTCCCTCTACCCTCTACACAGTCTGAGTAGCTACACACAGATTACATGATGACCCTAACATCACTATTTCAGGGGCTGCATTGATTACCAGCTGATTTCTGGGCAAATTCAACTTTAATCTTAAAGCACTGGTTGCCATTTTAGAGTCCTACATGATCCGGGATCTGAGTAACTTTGAGACTGCCTACTCCCAAGAGTATCTGCCTTTCAGTTAAGATCTGAAAGAGAGGATTCCCTTTGGGTGCCTATTTCTGAAAGAGTGTTACCATCAGGAGCCATTAAACTGGGACTTTTCCATTGCTGCCCCACTCCTTTGAAACAGCATTCCCCCAGGATAAGATTGGCCCCAACAGAGGAAAGCCATCAAGACCACATTATTCTAGAAAGGCTTTGGGGATTGATATGAGTTGTGAGATCTCCCTGTATAAGTGACAGTTTACATAATTTTGGAATGTAATTCCTGAGAAAGCATGATTTGTGTTTTGTAAGAATTATGTTACTGTTGTATTTGGTTGTTATTTTAATCTGTTTATGGAATTGTACACTTAAGAGCCAGTTTTAATTTAAGTAGCATACATACCTGAATGATAAATAACAATTTGTGTTTTACTGAGATCATAATTAGTATAGGCATTATGTTTGCTAATTTGTCTTACTATATTTGAATCTTCCTTTGCTCTTGTTTATAAAGCACTTAATGAAAATTTTGAGAAAATCTGAAAATTCAGTTAAGCCAAAATATAGGAATTGAATCATTCAAGGAGTGTTCTGCTGCCATTTTCTAAATAACTATATTGGCTGGCAGGACATTTATGGACATGGTTTAACCTTCTGATGCTTCTGCTTAGACTCCTAAATAGTTTAGTACTGCCCCTGCCTTCCCCAAAAATGCATTTCCTCTAGAAGACTTCCTCAGAGTTCCCTGACTTTTCAGTGTAGACAGTAGCATCCGAAATGTAAAAAACTTTTTTAGCTAACTGTAGTTGAGGCCAAATTTGAAGTTTTTTCAGCAAATAGAAAGGCCTTTATTTATTTACTTTCTATTTAGACTTCCTAATGTATGATCTAGCTGGATTTAGCTAGTGATGAGCACTGCTTTAATCTACTAGGAAAGGACCTCTATTTCTCTCATCTTTCTTCTCTAAGAACTACATGTAGTTATGCTATTTTTTTCTCTGGGCTTCCAAAAATGGTTACCAGTTTCTGAATCAGTTGTCTTTGTCACATGGAAAAGCCTGAATAGGTCATTTTCTTGACTTAGTAACCTTGTTATTTGCACTCCAGAACAAGAATTCAACAAGAATCCACCTGTTCCCTCTAGTGGGAGAAAAATTGTGAAAGTAAAAACATAAACAAAGCAACAAAATCCAAAGAATCTTGTAGCATTATATAATACATTTATTCTTTGTTGCTTTTCCTGTAGTATCAGCTACTCCCTCTAAGGAACTCCTTCTCAAGAGTGTACTAATTTCTCCCATTTCTGTCCATGGCAGGTTTAAATAAGGTAATTCTCCCAGTTTTGGATTTCAGTGAGATTATTTTGCCCATAATTAGATTTCTTTAAACACTTCTCAATCAGAACTTATTTCAGCTCTAAGAATAAGCTGGAATTCCCAATTTTAACATATTCAAATGTGTTTTCTGCTACACAGAACTAGATGGGAGCAATACAGTGATCCATATTTCTTCAGAAACTGTCCATGTCAAACAGCTCAGAAGTTTGGATGAGAATGAGGATCAAATTAATCTCATCTGGTTCTCTGCAACTTAATAATTACATTTTTAATATATCCCAGGCCATACATATGGTTTAACAAACACTAGTAACACCCTTCCCCAATCTGGTCTACCATCTGCATTGGCCAACCCCTGTAATTTCTAACCAACAAGAGAGCTACCCCACACATCCAGAGGATACATGCGAGCTATATTATTCCAATCTTATCCTACAGTCTTATCCTATCCTATCCTACAGTCCTTATCTTGCAGGATTGTTCTTACTGATCTATGAATACTGTGGTAATAAGTGTTCCAGACAGTTTTCTCAGGCATCAGTTAGACACCTCAAATAGTTAAATGAGAATAACTATGTAGAACCGGGGATATGCCTGGAGCACTGATTGTTTTGTCCCTCTCAATTGGCAACAGTTGCATTTCAAGACAACCTGCCCCCTTTTCCATTGTGACATTACAGCCTCCGAGCCAGCCTTAGGTGTTTAATTTTTAAAATGAATTCTACTGCAATTCCAGTTATACTAAATCACCCTGCTCTCCAACCTGAAAGCCTCACAAACATTATTTAATGGAGAAGAATATACACTCTGCACATACCCAGAGGTTCTCCCCAGCTCTCAAATTTGCATGTAGCTTGAGGCAAAATAGGCAAAACAGGCATCCTGTTTTAAATTCATTTCCCTGGAAGGAATAAGCTACTACAAGAGATTCACCGATACCACAATCTAATGGAGTTGCTGGGATGCAGCTTCGTATTACACTGAAGAAATGAATGGGCAAACTAGTAAGGCCACAGCAGTGCTATATACAACACAGATCTTAATGGTGCCCTGTTCTCCCTTAAACAAGTGCCAGGAGAGAGAGTTCAATTTGCAACTGGCCGAGCACAAAATAGGGAATTCTGCAACAGAATCATTCTTTTCTCAGATGGGAGCCCGCCCGCGACGCTGAACACAATTATTACGCCCGCGATACAGAAGGTTTTTTTTATACCCAGGACAGCCCCGTCCCGACGGCCTTCGCGAAAAGACAAACGCCAAACGTCGCCACCTCTGTTTGACGAGCCCTCCGTCCTTCTCACCTGATGATATTATCCGCATAGGTAAGCAACAAGCCCGAGGCCTCCAAAAACGTTTCTCTAGTATTCTGGCAGAGCTCGCTTACTGCTCGCGAGGGCGCTGGAGTGGCAGATCCCACCGCAGCCGCCATCCCATTGCAGTGGCGTTTGCCTACCAGAGTCTTCGCCAGAGAGAGGAAAGAAACTTCTCTTTCGTGGCGCGCCCGCCCTCACTCAATTCTAGATCTTGCTGACTCAGGCTACCATGCCACTAAGGTGGGGCGGGCAAGCGAAATTTCCCTTCCCCGCCTTTCAGAAACTTCTATGGTGGCCCAGAAAGGGACGGTGGTGACGCAGCTGTGACAGGAACGCTTTTTCCCCCCTCAGTATTGAGCATGCGCAGCAGTGAGATTGCCACCCCACACCTCCTGGCCGATTTCCTGAACCTTGTGGGTAGAGAGGCGGCTTCTTGCAGGGATTTGACGACTGGGCTGCAGAAATCCGGACGACCAGATGGCACTGAGAGCAAAGTAACCATTCTTTGTTGCCAATTAGCGTGGTCTGGATTTTTGCATCCCCAAATATGGTAACCCTGTTGCGTTTGTAGCCCATGCTGTCTGGGTTAGTATTTTAAGCAAACCATGTTTCGCAATGCTAATGTCTTATGTCTGCCTGATATGTGCTGCGGAGTCCAGGCAATCACTAGATGAGAAGAAAACTCTTTCCTGTAATCTAGTGCTCATTCAGCTTTTGCAGCTCAGATTTGGTAGCCTTAATCAAAAGGCACTATGGATCTTATCCTCGTTATTCCCCTGTTTTTATTTCCTTCTAAGAAAACAAGATGGAAAAAGATGAGGGGAATCAAGATGGTTTATAAATGGAAGACACTGTCATCTGGATCCCTTTGGTGAATGAGGCAAAGCAGTTGTATAAATTGCATGATGACAAGCCTCATCTTAAGGCATCTAGGCTGCAATCCTAAATGTGCACCTTAACACAATTGTTCATATTTAAAATGCTACAAGATTTGTGTTTTTATTTTCCTGTAAAGTTAAATCCCACTTACCTCTATGGGAGTAACTTTCCAAATCTATAAAATTGCACTGTTTATAAGTGAAACTTGGAGCACAATCCTTATACATGTTTCCTGAGCCGTAAGCTCTACCAAATTCAGTAGGGCTTAGCCTTAACCTTGGTAAATCTGTTGCTTGTACAGTTGAATTTTGCTAAACTGGAGTTAAGATCTGTCAATACTGGATACTCTTATTACCACAAGAAATAAGCAATCTGGAGTTTTCCAAATATTGCTGAATAGGTGTGTCAATCAGCATGGCCAATGAGAAGGGATACTGGGAATTGCAGTTCGGCAACATCTGTAGGGTCACAGAGTTATTTACGCTTGTATTTACAGAAAATACAATTTAAAATCTACAATTAAAATAGAGAGTATATCAGAGCATGTATATTAGCCCAAAGGTGACATAAAAGACTTGTATAGATTAGTCCTTGGTATAAAGTAGACAGCAAGGGTATAAATTATTTGCTACTTGCTACTCTGATTTTGGATACCTGATCCTTTTTTTTCTATGTTCTCTCCATCATAGATCTGAATCCTTCATTTCAAGTTAACCTATTTGTTCCTTCATTATATATTTTCAGAAATGCTGAGATCTATATAAGACGTACATTGGGATCTAAATAGCCTCTTGCAGTAATTAGTTCTATGTGCTGAAGAGGGGACTTACAGATATGCTGTGGACAGCGAGAGGACCTTTGAAAACAAGTTATGTGTTATATAAGCCTGCTAAACACAAAGAAAAAAAAGTTCTTATGCACATGTTTCAGCTCTTATGTGCTTCTGAACCAATTCATGGCTCTTGCCCACCCCCACCCCCCCACCCCCCACCCCGGAAAAAGAAGAAACAGAAAACGTATAAACCAATTTGTCTAAACTTCAGAGTTTTATATAGTGCCAACCAGGGACACGAAGCAAATTGCTTATCATAAAGCTGGCTACTGTAGTATGTTTCTTGAGGATGCTACTGACTAAAAAGTGATTTCATCAACATATCCATACAGTTTTCATGGCAACAATGTCCTTCCCTTTTCTAGGATCTTTTTTAAACTTCTGAGTATTTTCCAGCCCTGGGATTCTCTGATGGGGTCCAATCCAATCACTAACCATGCCTGACTCTGTTTAACTTCCAAGCTAAAGTGTATCACAGTATATATAAGAAAACTATGGCATAGTGAGCTATTCTTCAGATTCCAAGGCTTTATTTTCCTAAAGAGCAATAAAATCCCAAAGTTGATCAAGATCTTGCTCTACTTCAAAATATTTCCAGGAAAGATATAATGATGGTAGGCAAGACTTTATGTAAAGTTTGAGCTGAAAACTGTCATGTATATATTGCTTTTTGAATTTAATACATGTTCTAGTATGATCAAAGGGTCATTTCTTTCAGATTTTATGAATAATTTGACACTGGAATGTGTAAATTTTTTATGAGAAATCCTGACCTCTTGTCAAATTGCAATCAGAAATTCTTCAGTTAGGCTTGAAAATTAGAACGTAGTAACCATTTATTTTATTTTATTTAAATTTACATTATCATATGTTGCATGTTTGATAGATTAACACTTTCTTTTACTGTTTTAAGAAATATAAACTTTTCCCATGGGTGAAAGCTTGTAAATAATAATTTTATTTTTTCCCCCCATAGGAGGAAACTTTGGCGTAGTGCAGTGATGATTCTCCAGCGCTTGAGAACTGTATTCAGAGCTACAAGCCTCTATCTTTCTAGTTCACAAGGACAGCAGGGTTCAGAAATCAATAAAAGATGTATGAATACTAGTGTAGCTGCTCATGGTCGAAGAAGAGTTGTTGTCACAGGTATAGGATTAGTATCTCCTCTTGGTGTTGGAACCCAGTTGGTTTGGAACAATCTTCTCCAGGGAAATTGTGGCATTGTTGCTCTTGAAGGGGAAGAATATTCTTCTGTTCCTTGTAAAGTTGCTGCTTGTGTCCCAAAAGGGGTTGGTGAAGGTCATTTCCATGGAGAAAACTTTATATCAAAATCGGACAGCAAAGCTATGTCTTCTGCCACCATCATGGCCATAGGCGCTGCTGATCTGGCATTAAAAGACTCTGGTTGGTCTCCGCAATCTGACCAGGATAGTTTGAAAGCTGGTGTGGCAGTAGGAATGGGAATGGTTCCACTGGAAGATATCTCCGATACAGCCTCAACATTCAAAACAAAGGGTTACAACAAAGTCAGCCCGTTCTTTGTTCCAAAGATTTTGATCAATATGGCTGCAGGTCATATTAGTATCAAACATCAACTGAAAGGACCCAACCATGCTGTGTCCACTGCTTGTACTACGGGAACACATGCCGTGGGAGACTCTTTTCGATTTGTGGCTTACGGTGATGCTGATGTGATGTTGGCTGGAGGAACAGAAGCTTGTATTAGCCCATTGTCTCTAGCTGGATTTGCCAGAGCTCGGGCTCTGAGCACTAGCTTTAACTCAGACCCTCAAAAAGCTTGTCGGCCATTCCATCCACTAAGAGAAGGTTTTGTCATGGGAGAAGGTGCTGCGGTTTTGGTTTTAGAAGAATACATGCATGCTATCCAGAGAGGAGCTAAGCTGTATGCAGAAATTTTAGGCTATGGACTGTCAGGTGATGCCTGCCACATTACAGCACCTAATCCAAATGGAGATGGGGCTTTAAGGTAACAGCCATTATCTGTAAATAGTTGTAAAGTTACTTGCTATATTCTATTTGATAGTATAATTCCCTAATGCCTCTCAGATTTTGTGACATACTAGTGTATGGTACTATTTGAGATCATTAGGGAGTGGATTAGCAATAACTGAAGCCTTTTGCGTTCTTCCTACAATGAGACAAGAATGCAAATATTAGCCCTGGAGTCTTTACAGGAAATAGGCTATGGGGATCCCATCTTCTTGAGACCATGCCATCTCCCTTCAGAATCAGCCTCTGCTTTTAGGTGCTTAACAATAATGAGAAAGGTCACAGATAGAACTAAAGAAGACTCCACTTCTTTGGTCCCTCACTAATTTTATAATGGCTTTCTTTCTGGCTGACCAGGGGACTTTTATATGGGAACATCAACTAGCTAATCAAGAGATCTGGTTGCCGGAAAGAGGATGCCAGATTTTGTGTGTGTGTGTGTGTATATAGATATAGATATATGTCTCTATGTGTGAAGAGTCTGCTGGCAAAGAGAACGTTGCAGTGCCATGGTCAGTGAGCAGATACTTCCTGTTACTTATTCTGTGACTTGCTATTTACCCTATAACCAAAGTATTTTTACTGGGTTAAGGCTAGGGATGACATGGATACCAACAGCCTTCCTTTAAGGTGACTCCTTCTTCAGAGATTATGTAAGTGGTACACTGGTAGAGAGCCTGATTAAAAAATGCCGTCCCATAAAGGGGTTAGATTGGCACCAATACATTAATTATTGAGACATCTATTCATTCTCCTGTGTTTTTGATGGATGGTAGCTATTTTTATTCCTTTATTCCCCTGCTTCTTAGGCTTTATAGTATAACCTCCTTTATACTGCTGTAGGTTTTTAATTACTTTTCCAAATGCATTATTATTCAAAATACATCAGTTGCTCTGGATAGTAATTTATACCAAAAGATCAATATACCACTACTTAAAGTGGTCTGCAGAGCTTCATTTTTAAAAAGTGATTGAGAAACGGCTGAACCAATACTGGTTGGTTAGTTTAATACTGTACCTGTTTTTCATAATTTGGTGAGAAGTGTTATTAAAGTGTTAAGAGGAGCTTTTATGTAGGAAGGATGTGAAACTGATGTAGTTTTAAATTTGTACTTGGACAATTTAATTTGAAATACTGTTGTGGTTATTGGGGATAATCATGAGACAATCACACTGTCTCATTCTAAATAAGGAAATAATTATGAATTATATTGTACCTACGCAGTGTGTTAGAACTTTCATTGCAGAAAAAGTTAAACTAATCTGCCTTATTCATTCTTAACAGTGATGAGCTTCCCCATTATGGAAAAAAAAATACATTTACCACTATTAATTAGCTGTGCTTGTTCAGTTCTAAGATACATGGCAGGTAAGGAGAGACATAACATTTGATGAAATATTCCGTCAAATAGCACAACCAAAGTTTTAAGATAATTAGTCTTCAGCTCACTAGGACTGAATTTTCTAGTTCCACGTTAATCTGGCAATAGATACTATAGTATAGTATATTTCAATTAACATTACTAACAGCATGTTTATTTGTGCCTTAAAGACCCAGCCTAAGAATTCAATTTTTAGTAACAGGTCTCTTGTGAAGCCCTTCATGCCATGCTGAGTCCTGGTTTGGATGGTAGTCTCCTAATCTCCAGAGCAGCTTTGAAATGTGGAGAGGCGGAGGATTGCAATGGATAGGATCCCAGAAAAGCTCATTTACATATATGATATTTTATATCCTGTCAGCGTTGTGGTTTTAACGTTTAGTTACTTCCACGCACAACAAATGGATCAAAATAACTTTCTTATATCAGATAATACTAATGTCTTCCTTTGTATTCCAAAGGTGCATGTCGGCAGCAATGAAAGATTCTAGAATTTCTCATGAAGATGTAACTTACATCAATGCTCATGCCACCTCCACTCCACTAGGAGATGCTGCAGAGAATCAAGCTATCAAAGAGCTCTTTAAAGATCACGCCTCTGCTCTTGCAGTCTCCTCAACCAAGGGAGCAACGGGTCATCTCTTGGGTGCTGCAGGGGCTATCGAGGCAGCTTTTACTGTTTTAGCTTGTTACCATGGAATTTTACCGCCTACTCTAAATCTGGATCAGACAGAGCCGCCATTTGACCTCAATTATGTTCCACTGGTAGCACAAGAATGGAGAAGTGAAAAGCGGCGTATTGCTCTCAGTAACTCTTTTGGCTTTGGTGGAACTAATGCATCACTGTGTTTTGCTAATATTTAGTCTTGTAATCTGTATGTGTAAATACCATTATTCCCTCTTCCATTTACCTATAGCCAAATATATGTATATATGTAAATCTTTTTGTCTGTTTTTTTCTACTCTTCCTACCATTTTGACTAGTGCTTGTTTGTTCTTTAGGATGCATTATTTCAGCTGAATTTCTGAGGATCAAACCCTCTTCATTAGAAGGATATAAAAGGTTTCAAATTCAGAACATTTTGAACTCAGAATACCCCACAGGGTTGAAACAGTTGTTTAAAGTTTGAAATGAGTGAACACCCACTCTGAATCAAACAAGTAAAATTATGGTTGTTTTATCCTGTTTCTATTTTGCTTTGAATTGTTAGCTACCCAGAGTCATGCACAGGTGGTCCTTGACTTACGACTATCCATTTAATGATTGTTCAAAGTTATAGTGGCACTGAAAAAAGTGACTTACGACCAGTCCTCACACTTATGACCATTGCAGTGTACCCATGGTCATGTGATCAAAATTGGCAACCAGCGTGTATTTTCAAAAGTTGCAGCATCCTGTGGTCATGTGATCACCATTTGTGACCTTCCCAGGGGGCTTCTGACAAGCAAAGTCAATGGGGGAAGCCAGATTTGCTTAATGACCATGTGATTTGCTTAACAACTGTGACAAAAAAGGTCATAAAATCGGGCGCAACTCATTTAACCTTATCGCTTAGCAACAGACGTTCTGGTCCCCATTGTAATCGTAAGTTGAGGACTACCTGTATATGAGATAAGCAGCCATATACATTTATTAAATAAATATACCCCTGAATTTCTTTAATCTAGTTTGTGCCACATTTATGCACACTAGAGAGACAGAAAGAGAGGCTATTCAAGGGTGTTTTTCCATTTTTTTAGTTCCCTTTCTTCTGCCTGTTTCCTATTTCCTTCTGTTGTATAACATTTCTTAGCTGACTATTTTTTTCCTTTACTTGAGTAAGTGGATGAGTGTCTGGCTTCTGTGAAAAGCCCTGAAATTCATGTTTTTCCAAACAAACAAGAAGTTTTAACTAGTGGAATTAGAACCTTAAAATACTCAAAACTTTGATATTTAACAAATGGAAGTATTGTCTATATAATTTAATAAATTATTGCATATTATAAAGTGTTTGTGCAACACCACCTTGGTAGCAGTGGTAAAATGGAAATTTTTAAACAAATTTAATCTTGAAAAAGCAGTGATAGGAACGTGTCTTAATGTAAAAATAATTTAAGCTATTTAATTTAAACTAGTAATAATAATAATACCAAACAGGCAGATTAACATAAAGAAGTTAAAGATTGTGTAATTTTTCTGCTCACCATCTCTGAAAATAGTATTATTTGGTACACTTTACTACAGTTTGTTTATGTCCTACTAAAGATACAAGTAGTAAAAAATTCTAACAACAAGTATTCTTCCTACCTACCATCTTACCCATGTTTCCATTTCTTTTCTAGATCAAATGTAGATGGTAGTCCACTTAAATAATTGTTTCCTATTTTTATTCATTTATTTATTATTTTATTCAATTTCTATAGCTGCCCATCTCAGACAAATGACTCTGGGTGGTGGACAAGTGACTCTGGGCGTACATTTATGATTTAATTTAAAATTAATTTAAAATAAAAAAGGCGTACATTTATGATTGGGGCAGATATTGGACTAATATGTTGTCATCTAAATCAAAACTCCAAAATCGTCAGTCTCCAGAGTAAAATATATGAAATGTGGAAAATAATGTCTAAGTGTATACAACTAAATTGCTGTGGGTTAAAGAATGTTCTTGTGTAGATAGAGCCATTATATAGTCTCTTGGGTGGCACTGGATTTAGTTATAGAAAAATTAAGGCAGAGGTTGTGCATTCTCTTTTGTTTCAGAAGCAGATTTGAATTCTTGTCAAGTTTCCAGACTTACGTGTCCTCAGAGCTTATGGCAACCTCTGTAAATCTCCTTTTTTTGTGTGCCTTTGAGTCAGTTTTTGATTCCTGATGATTGCCTGGACTTGTCCTTGCACTTTTCTTGGCAAGGTTCTTTGGAAGTGGTTTGCCACTGTCTGCTTACTAGAGCTGAAAGAGAGTGACTGGCCCAAGGTCACCCAGCTGGCTTGGTGCCTAAGGAGAGACTTAAAATCATGGTCTCCCAGTTTCTAGCCCAGTGCCTTAACCACTACGCCAAACTGGCTCTCAGTTGTTAAAAACTTTCTAATAACTCAAGTGATCTTTTCATCAGGTAGCCCAAGGAAAAATGCTTGTTGTTAAGTGCCTCATAGAAATATAATAAATCAAAGGAAACTGGGCAAAGAAATTACAAGCTATTAAAAACCCAAACAAAATCCAAGTCAAGTCCCTTATAAAAATATCACTGTCCCCATGTAACCTACATATGCACACCAGAGCTCCAATAAATGAACACCCTGGCTCCAATGCCTGGGGGAAGAGCCAGATCTTCACATTTGGGGGGGGGGGGGAGGTGGGGGGCTCCGGGGGGGGGGGGGGGGGAAGATGAGGGCTACAGTGGGGTAGGGGAGAGTAAAAAGCCTGAGGAGTCATATGACACACATCTATTGTGTTGTATTTGCCATGCAGACCTTTTGAATTGGACTTGGTAGCCTATTGTAACCAATGCAGTATTGGAAAAACAGATGCTACTCTCATGTAACATGTCATCAGCTAGCTCTGGACAGTCCATGTTGTATCAATTGTAGCTTCCAGGTCATTTTCAGAGTCAGCCCAGTGTAGAGTGCATTACAGTAACAAAGGTGAGTGGTGATAATGGCAAGAATTACTGTTGCCAAGGCTTTCCAGCTCAACTAGCACAGCAGCCTCAGCTGAGCAAAGGCTTCCTTAGACATGGCTTCTACCAAGAGGAACTGGGAATCCAAAAGGCCCCCCAAATTGCAGAACCCCTTCCAGAGCTAACACTTGGGTTGTTACTGAGCCAAGGACAAAGAGCAATCTTGGGATTTAATTTGTGTTTGTTTCTACCCATCCAGACCCTCACAGCCTTCAGGCACCAGCTTAAGTCTTCCACAGCATGTGCAACTCAGCCTGGGTTAGCAATACAGTGGTACCTCGGGATACGAACTTAATCCATTCCGTGACTCTGGATGTATCCCGAGTTGGTCGCAACCCGAGGCAATTTTCTCTTCAGAGCCTTACTCCCGCCAAGC